GTGTGCATGCGTGTGTTATGCGTGCTTACTCCATAGTACTGGTTTATTCAAACGATTTAGTATTTGTGCTTCAAGAATCGAATATAATTGCTTTTAGAGCAAGACCCCTGCCCCCTCAGTATATTTAGGAATGAGCAAATTTATTGGTAGGTTTGTTATTTCATTCGGGTAACTCCATTGTTGTTGGCTGTGACTTGCCGTGTATCAGTAAAACTATTTTCAGACAAACATGGTCTCTGAAATTCATTAGCTTCATGAAAAATTGTGAAATACTATAGGTTTAACGCCCATATCAACACTATTGGGTTATTTAAGAGGTGGGATCTCCGAGTTTATCTTCCATCTCCGAAAGGACTGAGCCAAGTGGGAAATTTCTGTAAAGTGCCTTTCCCGAGGACACAACGTTCGAACCCCCGAACCAGCAATCTCACGATTTCGGGCCCATGCAGTAGCCTAACCACTGGGCCACCGAGCCACATTGGCTTCATGTATTAGACAAAGAGGACTACTACTCTGTTTGATTGTGTAATAATAAGTTCTGTGATGGACATCGGAGGAAGGAAGACACTTTGATGTTTTTTTAACCTGTTTCGTCAGAAGTCTGAGTGCCTCATCTCTCTCTATATTTTGTGAAAGTCCGTCACTCTGGCCGCATAAAACGTCCGAACCACTTAGCTTTCGAATTTGACAAAATCAATGATGGTTCCGAATTATTTAAAGGGTGCACAGTTAGATTAAGGAGTCTGATCGTTCTGTACTTTAATTTTCAGTCTTTCATTAGTTTCGTTTTGATCTAATCTTTGGAAAGTCCGTCTTCTAAGACGACATTGTAAACAAGTGAGACGTCCGTTCACATGCAGTGTGCACTAAACCCACAGTGACTTGACGATCGATTCTTTTGATTTCGCTCATCCTGGATCGGAAAAGTAAAGTAAAAAGAGTCGGTTCATCGAACGAGGTACCCATCTAGTTTATTTATAAGTGTGTGGTTGTTTGTTTAATAGCCAGTCTCTTTCCATTTAGCAAATCAACACTGCAGTGTAATATAAAGTGTGAGAATTGGTATTGATTGATATCATGTGATGCTACGGTAGATGGGAGTAATTTCCGTATGAAATTGTGGTGTTTTGACAACTTTTTAAAGAATAAAAAGCCACTATCCATTTCCGCAGCATATGCTGGTGTATTGAGTAATTGTTTCACTAAACGTGACGTGTTAAAAATTGATGCAACTTTTGGTGCGTGTAGTAGGCGGTCTCCGTTTACCATGTGGGTACTGTAACTGGAGATTCTCGGGTTTCCATTCTGATAATCCAGCGTGCCAGTATTGGGGAAGCCGTGTGCGTCTCTCTGTCTCTCTCTCTCTCCCTCCCTCCCCCTCTCTCTCT